GGACCTCCCGCGCCTCCCTTCCCAGCCGTGCCTTGTCGCTAGTGTGCAGGCGAAGGGGGAAGGCTGTGGCACAGGCTCCTTCCAGGCACGGGGCAAGGGCGCTCGTGCGGTCAGGTGTCACGGCCACCTTCACGGTAGCAGATTGAGAGACCGGAGTGCAGGCACAGCACCGGGCGACCTTTGCGGACCTAATGTCCTTCCTCAGAACCGAGGGAGGGCACCTTGCGCGTGTGAGGTTGGCTGCCCTGGACAAAGGAGTTCGCTGTTTCCTGGTCCGACTTGGGCGGTGGCGGCGCCCTCTGTCGGCTGGTTGGCTTCTCCATCAGAACCGAGGGAGGGCACCTTGCGCGTGTGGGGTTGGCTGCCCCGACAAAGGAGTTCGCTGTTTCCTGGTCCGACCTGGGCGGTGGCGGCGCCCTCTGTCGGCTGGTTGGCGATAGGACACGTGTGACTGGTTGCATGAGACCTCGGTGGCCTTCCTAGGCCGGCATTTGTGTGTGCTGCTGTGGGCGTCCGTTTGCTTAATGTCTCTCGGGACACCAAGGGCGTGCCCGTCCCTGCCAGCCGTCCTCCTCCCTGGTAGTCCCTGCCTGACTCAGGCCGCTGCTGTCACCCGCAGGGCCGAGACCCCTCGCGGCCCGTCGGAGGCCAGCGCTGAGGTGGCCGTGTGGGCTTTAGGCACAGACTCTAGGTTTGTCCAGTTTCTGCGGCCGTGTGGCCCTACCTGCCAGCTCCCTGAGGTCCATACGTGGAAAGCTGCCCTGTCAGCTAGCACCCGGGTCCGAGCACGTCACCCCCACCCACGTGTGGAAACACTGGATACCCTCATACCTGTGGGGTTTTTTTAATCAGTCATTAATGCAGCACATGATGGAATTTTCCAAATACGTTGCTAGATGCATTGGCCCAGGAAGCAAGCCCGGGCACCCCGGATCTCACAGGTGTTTCCATGTAGGACCGTGAAGGACTCTGGCATTAGGCCTGGGGTTGGGTCCCGGCTCTGCCACCCCGGGCGACTTCCCTCGGCTGTCGGGTGCGGCTGGGCGGTGCCTTAGTGGCTGTATGACCCTTGGTGAGCGCGTGCGTCAGTCCAGGTGGAGAGCCAGAGGCACCCAGCGACCTGCGCAGACAGGGCGGCCGCAGAGTGTTATGCCTTACGCGGGAGCGTGGCTGTTTGGCTGAGCCCTGCTTCTGGATGTGCCATTACGTCTGTTTCTGCGTTTTCAAGTGGTGCCCCTAGAGTTACTCTTGTAGTCTCGACTTTGCACCTTTTAGAAAACTTCTGAATCGTGTAGTCTTCAAAGTGTAGCACACTTATTAACGTCTATCAAAAAAAACCCAAGCCAAACAACGCACGCGTCTGTGACCCCAGACGCGGATGGCGTGGCCTCGTGAGAACAGCCCACCATGGGCGACGTCCTCTGGGATCCTGGCAGGGCGGCTCTGGCACTGAGTGATGATGTCAGGGTGTCCTCGGGTGACTGCCCTGAACCTGTGAGGACAGCAGCAGCTCCGGGTGTCCCAGCAGGGCCCGCCCGGTCGGCAGTGGATTGGGGGAGCCAGCCTCTGGGCTCACTGCTGTCTGAGGGGCGGCCTGGGTGCTGACCTCAGGTATGGTGACGTTACCGGATCCCGTGGGCCCCTTCCTGCCTTCCTGCACCCACTCACCCAGAGCACCTCACCTTCTTTCTGTACCATTGTGAAAGTAGGTACCGGTTTGTACCTGGCAAGAGGCCAGCTCAGCTGTGCACTCTGCCACAGGTCTGCTGTCACGGACGGTTTAGGCATTTCCCGATTTTTCTTTTCTGTTTCCCTAGAACCGAGCCCGGAAAAAAAGGCTGAACATCATCATCGTGGCTGAAGGAGCGATCGATAACCAAAATAAGCCTATCACCTCGGAGCAGATCAAGGAGGTGAGTGTGTTTGACTTCCACGTCCCTTCTGTCACCTGCCTGGAATCCAGGGCAGGTGACACGGCCGGCAGGGGTTGGGCTTGGCACACTACGTTATTATTTTGGAAACATTTTTCTTTGTTTGCTGAGAGTTAAAAACATTTTCATAGTGACTCATTGCTTCAGTGACGTGAGCATCATACAGCTCCCGGCTTCTGGAGAGGCATAAGTGTTCCCAAAGGGCTGGAGAGGCATAAGTGTTCCCAAACGGCTGGAGCCTCCTCCGCCGCCCCCCGCCCCCACACACACACAGAGGGAGGAAATGGGGCAGAGCGAGACTGGGAGGGTCCAGCTCTGGGCACCAGCCTCCCTGAGAGCCAGGAGGAGTGAACCGCAGCAGCGAGCCCTGTCCCCTCCCCTGGAGCAGTAGCTGAGCGTGTCCTCACAGAGAAAGCCGCGTTGTTGGGTGTGAGTCACTGCCACTCCCCGCCTGCAGCAGGGCCCACGCCGCTGTCCGGTGCCAGGGCCCAGCCGTGGTGCTGGCTTATCAGGCCCGTGACGGGCTCGTTCTGGATGAAACACCGGGGACGCAGATTGACAGGCTGTGGTCGAAGCCACTGTTGGGGCAGAGAGTATTGTCAGCTTGGCTTTGCAAGTCGGTTTCTGTGTTTTACCCTCATTATTCCTGTACTGGCTGTGGACCTGGGAGAGAGCTGTGCAAGGTGCAGGCCAGTGTTCCCAGGAAGTAGTAAGACCAGAGTCACAGCTGGGATTGAATCACATGCTGTTGGCTCCCTAAGGGCTCTGTTTGCAGAGTGGTCAGCAAGATCCTGGGCACATAGCTGTTCACGGGTCCTGGCCGTGGGGGACACCTTGACTGACCGCGTCCTGCTTTTCATGTGCAGCCGTACAAAGGCAGAGTGACCTGGAAATATTTGCGTGTTTGTAAAGTATTAATCGTGTTTTAAACACAATCTGTAGAAAGTGTTTTTCCTTAAAAACCACATTATTCACGTTCATTTGTGAGATGGTAGAAATAAAGATTTTATCTGATAAAAGCTTGTTTTTTTAAAAATTTCAGCTAGCCATTAAACCGAGCATTCCTTCAGGAAGAGAAATTTAAGAATTGGGACTTGTCCTACATAGATCTG